CATGACCTGATATCATCCTCCCAACCTGCAATGCGTTGGATGGGTGCCTTGGACATCTGCGCGTGCTCAATGAGGTCAACGATACGCGCAAGACTCGAATCCTTCCCGACATGCGTTGCCTCGCACACGAGCACACCCGTCTTGAGGATGGTGCCACCGATGACGGCATCGCCTTTGTCCTTGGTCACCGGTCGTGATTCCCCCGTGATCATCGACTCGTCGACCTGTCCGCTCCCGCGCAGGACACGCGCGTCAACAGGAAACTTTTCGCCAGCAAGCACCTGGTGGTGGCGGCGGTGATGGGAAGAGCGTTGAGGGACAGGGGTGGTGGTGATGGGAAGAGTGGTAAGGCGTGGTGATGGCAGTGGTACGTGTGACATCAACTCTGCCACATAAGCACTCATGACAGCAAGAACGCAACCACAATCCTACACACGCACATGTACACGCACACGCACACACATGCATACACATGCACACACACACACATACACACATTGCACACACAAAACCACCAGATGCTCACTCTGATTCTGTCGCCGCGTTGAACGAGGTCTGTTGAAATCATCTCCTCCTTCACATCAACAAAGTCGTTGCCATCATCATCATCATCATCGCCATCATCATCGTCAGCAGTAGCGTCGATGGGGTGTGTTGGCGAGCCCGTTCGCGAGGAGAGCAAGCGCGCCTGCGTTGGCTGTAGCGACAGCAGCTCCGAGAGGGCGGTCGAGGTCTTGCCCTTTGCAATGTGCTCCATGTACCGGCCAAACGACACAAACGCAAAGAGCATCACGCCCGTCTCGAAGAACAGGTGTTCATCGCCAGAGTGCCGCTCGTTCGACGTGGCAGAGACAATCAGCGCCACCAGCGAATACACGTACGTCGACCTGACGCGCGCCACAGTGAGCAGGGGAGGGGGTCATGGGGTGGAGAGCGATGTGTGAGATATTGATTACGCAGCGCTGCTGGTCACATTGTGCACAGACACGATGCAAACGAGACTACACCAAGACAAACCTCATCACCAACTCAGGCAAGCATTCGCCTCGTCACGGTGTGTGTGTGTGTGTGTGTGTGTGTGTGTGTGTGTGTGTGTGTGTGTGTGTGTGTGTGTGTGTGTGTGTGTGGCGTACAGAGCGCTGATGGTGATGAGGACGTCCATGTTTGCGCCGCCGTGCAGCAGCGACTTCACACCGGAGACGAGAAACGGCTTCCCTGCAATGAACAGCGCGCCGCCGCACACCACCATGAGGGCCAGGTTGCGCTGGGAGAGGCCCGTGGCCACCTCGTCGTCCCACGACTTGGGCCACATGCGGATGGTCATGGCGGCGACGAAGAAGAGCAGGCTCAGCAGCAGTTTCGTGCGCCAGAAGCGGACAGAGCTCTGGTGCGTGTAGTCGGGCTTGTCGCTGCTGCCCAGCGTGGCGTGGTAGCCGAGGTCCTCAACCGCCCTGCACGCGACGACGGCGATGGCGGTGGTGATGATGCGTGGTGATACGTGGTGATGATGATACGTGGTGAGGTGATGGTCATGGTCATGGTGATGGTGATACATGGTGATGGTGAGGTGTGGTCGGTTGGAACGTGATTGTTGGCAGGGGAGGAAGCAATGTGGTTGGGCAGAGAGCAACGGAACAACAGCAGTGTGGGTGACACAGCGCGTAGCGTTTGAGTGGGCCACAACACACAAGCAATGTCCATATGAATGCAAAGATAAATACATCCAACCAAACAATCCCCCCGGCCCTCGCATGCCTCGAAACACCAATCCCACGCCAATCCCGTGTCATTGCGGCTTCATGGGGTACCTGAGGATGGTGCGGGCGCCGGTTTCGTTTGCATCAAACTCGACCTGGACAGACCCCGTGCCGAGACCAACAAACGCATCCAGCACTCCAGGCATGCTGGACAACAGGTTCTGCAGCCGTCACAGCAAAGGATGGCGTGTGTAAAAAGGGTGTGTGAACTGGTTGGAGGGAGGAGAACATGAACACGGAGCACAAACGATTGCGCACACCATACAAGACACGACACGAGACACACAACACCAAGGGTTGCATGTACCGACACACACATCAATAAACGCACACACGCACGCATACACGCAACATACACACGATGTAAGACACACGACGTCAAGGGTTGCATGCACAACACACTCACATCATTAAACGCACACACGCACACACGCACGCACGCGCGCGCACACACATACAGCAACACACACGCAACATACACGCAACACACACACCTGGATTGTGTCAGCGGAGGACGAGTCGACCATGCCATCAATGCTGATGGTGATGACGGTGCTGGACTGCGGGGCGACTTCGTGTGCAGTGAAGCCGGCACTGGTGACGCACGCCACAATGGCATCCGCTGACGTCTGCTGCGGGTCGTACACCACGTCGCCAGTCTCCGCGAGCAGCCCCACGTTGACCTGGGACACACCGGGCAGGCGGCGCACGCGGCCCTCAATCACCGCCACGCACGACGCGCACGACATGCCTGCAGGCAAGAAGGGCGCAGGCGGGGAGCACAATGGCGGTGGTGGTGAGCACACGCACCGCCGATATGGTGGTGCTGCAAGCACACCCGCCACCACTCTACACAGCTGTACACACACACACACACACACACACACACACACACACACACACACACACACACACACACACACACACACACACACACACACACACACACACACACACACACACACGCACGCACCTTGGATGCGAAGGTGCAATGACTCTTTCTTGCTGGACGAGGACGCTGATGACGGTGATGGCACTGCTTCCTTCTTGTCTGTCGTGGACTTGGGACTGCGTTGCTGTCGCTGCTGCGTCTGTGTGGGAGCAGGGCTTGTACGTGCGGTGCAGAGCTCAGACCCAAGCAGCGCTGCGTCAAACCCCATGTCATCGATCGCATCAACAAAGGTGTTGCCCGACACAGCTGTGGTGTGGCGCACGGTTGCGCGGTGCTCAGCAAGAGACACGTTCACGTCCAACACGCCGTCCATCAGCGACACCTTGTCGGTGATGGCCTTGACACACGAGTTGCATGTCATGCCCTCAACGGAGATGTGCGACACCTTTGCTGTGGGTGTGGAGGCTGCCTGTGCTGGCTGGTCTTGGGACAAGGTGGCAGCCGCATGGGCGATACCAGACCGTGTCACGTCGGTCGTGGCTGTGGCGTGCTGCTCTGCCCTCATCGACCCTCTTCCCGCCTCTGTTGGTTTCGTTGCTTCCCCTGCTTCCGTTGCTCCTCCGTCTGCTTTGCTGACCTTGCGCGTGCTGCTCACGGTGGCACCAAACCCCATGTCTTCCACCACATCTGCAAGCTGCTGCGCTGAGATGGAGGCGTCGTGGCGGATGGTCGCGCTGTTGCCCTTGAGCGACACGTCCACCTCGCTCACCTGCGCCATCTCCGACAGCCGGTCTGTGATGGCGGTTGAGCACGACGTGCACGTCATGCCCTCCACCGCCAACCTCGTCTCCATTGCTTCTCCTTTCTGTGTGTGGTGTGGCTGACACAGCTGCCTTGGCTGCTGTTGGCTGCTGTTTGCTGTTGTTGAGTGCTGCTTGCTGTTGGCTGTTGTTGGCTGCTGTTGACTGTCGTTGACTCTCCTTCTACTCACCCGCCTTCCCGTTGCCCCTGCCAGCTGGCAGTTTGGCTTGGGGGCTTGTTGTCGCGGTGTTTGGAATCAAACCAAACACGTCGGAGAGTGTGTGTATGTGTGCGTGTGTGTGTGCTGAGAAGAAGTGCGTGTCGTCGCTGTCATCAACAACCTTCCCTTCTTCTTGCACAATGTGCAGGCAGCAGCGAAGCGAAAAGCGTTCGTTTCCTCTCAGTGCAGGAATTTGTGCGTGGAGAGGAATGTGTGTGCGATTTGAGAGCGCCATGACACGCGATGATGTCACCTCCTCCCCCCCAAAAGGCCAGTGCCCTACACAGGGTGTATCTCTGTCGTGGTTATGGTGTTGGAATAGCACATGCAGGAAAAGCAAGTAGGGGGAAGGGGTCAAGTACAGCTGGTGACAAGCAAAATCCTGTGTGTGGTGTGGAAAAGGAGAAAGGAGGGAAGGAAAGGCATGCGCAACAACGAGAACGAGAGGAGGAGGAGGGAGGAGGAGGAGGAGAAAGCACGCTGGAGGGAACTGGATGGAAAGAAAGCTGGATGGAAAGAAAGCAGGCACTCAGGCAAGTCGAAGGGAAGCAAGAAGACAACAAAGCGCGGCCTTGTATGTCCTTGTGCCACAAGGCAGCAACGCCATGCAGTGCAAGCTGTATTCCAGTGTTCCCTTCTGATCGTCCCCATCCTTCTTCGTCCTCAGAGCGTGCCCGACGTGGACGTGGAAGTGCTCGACACGGATGAGCTGCTGGACGTCGACGATGAGGACGTGGTTGTGGTTGTGGTTGTGGAGGCTGTGGTTGAAGCACGACTGCAGGTGGAGTCGCCCGTGATTTGCGCACACGACTCCCTATGGATTTTTGTGAGGTGTGTGTGTGTGTGTGTGTGCGTGTGTGCGTGTGTGCGTGTGTGCGTGTGCGTGTGCGTGCGTGTGTGCGTGGTTGAATATGAACGATATATGCATGAGAAACAAGACAAACTATGCGGGGAGAATTGAGGGACAGTGATAAATGTCGGCCACAGCTCCACACACACACACACACACACACACACACACACACACACACACACACACACACACACACACACACACACACACACACACACACACACACCCCACACGCACACGCACGCAAGGCTACTTTTCCACTTGACCACTTCAACTCGGCATGCAAACACATGTGTGTGAACCGACTCCTCGACTCAAGCTCACCAACAGCGAAGAGACCGCAGGGTGGTGGCATCCATGCTTGTGGTCATTTCGTGGTGACACGCAGGCGAATCACACTGCTCCAGGCACGCGCCAAGAAGTACGAGGTCGGGGTTGGCATGGAACCCTCCTTCAGCGATGCACGCGCCAAAGTCCGTCGACGACAGTCCACCAGCAGCCTGCAGTGTTGCATAACAAGTGTCGCAACACACAATCAAAAAGTCGGTGTGGTGTGAGCAGGTACTGTGTGAGAAGGCGTGTGGACTTCAACTGCGTGGTATGCTGGGACACACGACATCACCTCAAGGCTACCACCTCAAGCAAGACCACCTCAAGACCACAAACCACCAGCGCTCTCTTCCCCTGCATCAAGAGCGCACCTGACCGAGACACTTGTGGATAAACTGTTCGCATGTGAGCTGAGGGCAATCGTCCGCCGCTGCCGCCGTGCCATCGCCTGTCTGCTCATCCTGGGACGAAGCCTCGGAACCGGGAATTGGTGTTGGGTCTGCTGGCCGCGTTGCCGTGTCGGTCGGCCGCGTCAGGTACACGAGCGGGATGGCAAGCAGCACGCCCACCACCAGGAGGCCACAACACAAAAACAACAGTACGCGTCGCCGAGCAACCCATGGGTCTCTTGTTCTAGACACGGTGCTCATCCTCTTGAGGGGCGCCTTGCTGTCACGCCTGGGCGGTGATGGTGAAGTCCGAATCTCATCGAAGCCATCGTCGAACTCGCTCTGCAGCACAAGCACTCGCTGCTTCTGGGACGCCGTTGAATCTGCCGCCTTGGTTTGCAGCTGAATGCCCTCCGTTGACGCCATGGCGCTGGTGCTGTTGTGGACACGTCTGTGTCTGTGTGTGTGTCTGTGTTGTGCGTTGCCGTGTCTGTGAACGGACTGTGTGGATGGCTCAATTCACGAGTAAATGTGTTGCAGGTGCTGGAGAAGAACGGGTATGTATGTGCGTATGTGGTGAGTGTTGTATGTGTGTGTATGTGTGTGTATGTGTATGTGTGTGTGTGTGTGTTGTTATTGTGACTTGGTTGGCCGGATTGATGCAATGGAGGGGAGTGGTGTGGCGTGGGTGGTGTTGGGTGTGCTGTGTGTTGTGTGATGCTACTCGTCGACCACACGTATCTAAACGCTTAAACGACAGCGGGTCGGCCGCGATGGCAAAAAGGATGAGAGTGGTGAGTTGCGGTGTGCGATGTGCGGTGCTTTCGGTGCTGTGATGTGTGACAATGTTCACAACAGCGTGCGTAAGTCAATAGAAACGTTTGCTTGTTGTGCCTGTCACCGCTTCCTGACACCGGCGTCACCCGATGGCCACCACACAAATGTGCATGGAATCTTTCGTGCGTGCAAATTCCTCCATTTCGCGGGAAGAGGTTGATACGCGAGGGGATGACGACACACGATCCAAGACACACAGACACACACAGACACACACAGACACACCCACCCACCCACCCACACACACACACACACACACACACCACACACACACACACCCACACACCCACACACCCTCCCCCCCACACACTATCTCTCCCCCTCTTTTCCCTTCTCTCCCCCTTTCCCCTCTCTGCACTTCATCTCCAATACCACAAATCACGGCGCGCGTGTATTGGGTGAGTGTGCACTAACAACGCCTTGGAGGAAACCAGCGGCCAAGGGCTTGAGGCACAAGCATGCAGACGACAATGATGCGACAAAGGACGAAGGAACGGGGCGGGTGGCTGGCGAGGCAGTGACGGCAACCGACAATCACAACTGGCATGAGCCAAGCACTGGCGAGGCACACGCACACACACACACACACACACACACACACAACACACACACACACACACACACACACACACACACACACACACACACACACACACACACACACAGACACCGCAGCAGCACCAGCAACCGCGAGGCACTGCACGGCTCAAGCGAGCACTTGAGCATGCCGGCTCAAACGCCACGAAGCAGCGAGCGCCCCGTAATGCCAACACGCCGCCACAACAACCACGCAAACAAGCAAGCACAAATTCACAAAGATCAACAACAAGGCTACCAAGCACAGCAGCACCGACGAGGGGCAACGGGCAAAACAAGCAGCCAAAGAGCAACCGAGAGTACACAATGAACAAAAAAAAAAAGGCAAAAAAGTGTGATCATGTATGTAAGCAGTGCCATTGGTGTTGGTGTCAGTCAGCGAGTCGGTCACTTGAAAGTGGGAAAGGGGGAAAGGGCGAGGAACGAGGGGAGTGCGGGAAGGAATCAAAAGTCCAACTTGTCAAACTCCGCCTTGGCCGCCGCAAGCTGATCCATAATCTGTCGCAGTGCCAGTGTGTGAGAGAGAGAGAGAGAGAGAGAGAGAGAGAGAGAGAGAGAGAGAGAGAGAGAGAGAGAGAGAGAGTGTGTGTGTGTGTGTGTGTGTGTGCGTGAGTGAGTGAGTGACGAAGTCGGGTGTGTAGCGGAGCTGTACCCCTATGCCCCACTGCACGCAAGCGTGTGGCCGATATACCTTCTGGTGGAATTCAATTTGCGCGGCAAAGTATGCCTTCATCATGTCGCGGAAGTCTGAGCGGCGCTGCTGGTGAAAGTGCGACATCTCGCACAGGGCGAGCGTGTGGATCACATCGCACCGGCTGCGCACGGCATCCTTCTCCCCAGGTTTGGCCTCCTCGTTCTGGTGGCGGCAAGCAGCGGTGGCAGTGGGTATGTGAGGGGTTGGCTCAATGACTCTCGTGTGGCGGTTGTGGAGGTGGGCAGGAAGGCATGCAGGCGAGGATGCTTGTGCAAGCACATAACATGTGCATGCAGACAGACAGCCACACACACACACACACACACACACACACACACACACACACACACACACACACACACACGACACGACGCACACACACACACACACACACACACACAACACACACACACACACACACACGCAAGCACGCATGCACACACACACACACACACACACACACACACACACACACACACTCACACACACTCACACACGCGCAAAGCCCCATGTTTTCTATTTCCTCGACGCGCATGTGATGCTCTGCGAAGAGGAGACGATGCCTCAGAAGAACTGGATGAGCAGGCCCTGCTACTCCTTCATGCTCCTCCATCCACTGTATGTGGTCATT